AATAGAAAAACATATACGTTTCGATTTACGGTCAAGGTCCTCTTGAAATTTACTTAAACTATTAATTACAAATTACATAATGATAGCACATACGAGTATAAACTATTAATGTATAAAATACAAAAAACTGTTTAATAGTTTAAGTAAATCTTTGTACTGAAGAGGATCTTGACCATAGATCGAAAGGTATACGTTTTATTATTCACTTTGAATAAATGATATAAAATACACATTAATAATCAGTGTTGGCTGAAATTGGCATTTTATTTATTATTTTTTAGATTCTTCTATTTATTTCTTGCTGCAAAGCATTTCTTACTTCGTTAGTTAAAGTTTTCCTCAATAGCCTTGCCAATTGCATCTCAAAAGACTTCTTGGTGTTGAAGATTATTGTGGGCAATAGTTGGCCTTCCCCAGAATCCTCGAGGCCTCCCAGCAAACGAAAATGGATTGAAATGAATTGAAATGGATTCAGATTTTCAGAAATATTGATTTACGAATGTTAAGATAAATGTTTTTCAATCCTGAATGCATTTTTATTCATTTATAGGAATTGCATGGAGCATATCTCTATGTCTTTCAATCTAAAAATAATATTAACTTTTTCTGTGCATCAGCACCATTTTTGCTTCAACGTTGAACAACTCGATGAAAAAAAATCGTACAGAGCTTCGTAAAAAAGTAAATTAAAGGTAAAGATTTGCTATTTCGAATGATATAAATTGCATTTGTATACAATTTTTATTCCACTCCGTGGAGCTTCGCAAATTTCTTAAACAATTTTGAGGTTTGATATATCTTTATTTGTGTTTGTGTAATTTCATAAAATCTCCATGAAATCGTTTTTTTAAATAGCGATCCGGAAAGTAGAGATTTCTACCTGTAAAATGCTTTTTTAAACATCCCGATACGACAATTTTTGACGAAGTTATTGTATCTTGAAATTTGCCTATTTTTGCAGGGTGAACAGGTGTTGCGTTAATTTTGTTGCCCAGTGTATTTTATACTTTTCCTACAAAATTATAATTATTCCTTATACTAACTGTTGTGATCGAAAAATATTTCTTATTCTTAAATGCAGTCATAACTATGCATTTATTAGAAAATACAATAGAAATATGTTTTACATTTATTTATTTAAAAACTTCAGTACATAAAGTTTACTGTAGTTTTTATTTATAATAAATTGATTTTTTTGTAACTAACGTAATACATCAACTTCATTCGTTTGAATATCTTATTCAAACGAGGAAAAAATTCCAAAATCAGTTATAATAGAATATACAAAAAGATAGAAAATAGCGTTCAATACGGAATGGCAATCTTATTAGGAATCAAGTATTGCTATTATCTCAAGTTGGAAGTTGACTTCACTGCACTCATATCGGATATACATACAATCATTAGACATATATGAAAAATAAATAAATTTTTATACATTTATAGTTACAGTGATAGAGTCTCAACAATTTCAGAGAAGTCAAGATGTTAAAATAGTTATCAATCTAATCTATTTACATTGTACAGTGTAGTGCTTATTGTTACGGCATTTTACGTTATGTGGATGGAGATACACCAGCAAGCGTTATGTGGATGGAGATACACCAGCAATCGAGCCACTATCGTAACGTTACGCAACATACGCAAAGACCTGAGCCCATATCCGTATGCGATTGTTACAATGTTTATGTTTGTAGTGCAGTGTTGAATATATTATTGCAGACATTCATTCAGACTATTTCTTGAGAATTGTTTAATAACTTCGATATTACACAAGTAATATGTAATGTAATATATGAAAAATATTCAACAGAGAGCATTTTCAAAGCGCTTAGAATTGTACAACTGCTCAGATTACTCAAAACTCGATGAAAAGTCATCGTAGCTCAACAAAGATAAAAAAACATAATTTTAAAGCTTGAAACTTGTATTGTAACATGCTTTTGGCTGTTTTTCAAACAATTTTTATGTTTATAATTCTGTATCTTAACAAAGATCACATTGTTATATATGATTCTTAAAATTACGTACGTTCAACAGTCTGCAGGTTGATAAAAAGTAAATTTTTAAAAAAATTTGTCTTTTATAAAAAAAATATGGAGTTTTACCTATACAAAATATTTCTTTTTAATTTTCTTACTATTTTCTTGATCGATCGATCATGTATAATGTAAATACATTAATAAACACACACATACGCGTGCACACACACACGCGCGCGCGCGCGCACACACACACACGCACACACGCACGCACACGCACGCACACACAATATATATTTATACAAGGTG